CTATAGAATGTGTACAAATATACAGAAAAGAAGGTTTCGTTTAAATTAAACCTTACTTTCTATAAGGAAAATTTAATGCAGCTGCTATAACTTTCCTAACAAAGTTATCGAAGAAAGAATTGATTGTGACTATTTGTAGTTGCACCTCAAATGGTATTTACAGTAGCATGGGGCTCCTTGTCACAATTCCCTTGGCATAAAAATGAATTGATGCCAACTTCAATGAGGCTATTCCTAGGTTTTCCAAAGGCACGTAATCCGCCAAGTCACTAGACCCTTAAAAATTCGACTTTTATGTATGGAAATACTTATAGTCGCTTCAGTTTCATTTTGCCGGTTTTGGATTACAAGGTCAAAATTGTAAATGTTTTACTTCAAACCGACAAACGTTGTTTTGCCATATACGTTATTTGTATGAAATACTTTTTTTAGGAAATATTTTTAAAAATAACTAACACTACAACTGTGTGCGGATGTAATTGTAATTGAAAGAGGAATGAAGCGTTGTAGACAATTAAAGTATACTTTATTTATGTTAATAAATTATTCTTTATTAAAGTAACAAATGTATATTAAATTACAATTATTGATAGCTATCTGTACATCGAAAATAGTTCGTATTTCTACTAATTATGGCAATTAAAAAATAAACAAAGATTAATCTCTGAACGCAACGAAGTGTACAATTTTTTTGGTCAGTCCGTCTTTAGCGAATACAAACAAGTTGGATGGTTTTCGCACGCGAGAACATGCCACATATAGTTGTCCGTGGGAAAAGCATGGGTGTGCCCAAATCTAAGCCACAAACAGACAACGTTTGGCCATAATTGTAATTTAATATACATTTGTTACTTTAATAAAGAATAATTTATTAACATAAATAAAGTATACTTTAAGTGTCTACAACGCTTCATTCCTCTTTCAATTATAATTACATCCCCACACACTTAGTGTTAGTTATTTTTAAAAATATTTCCTAAAAAGATATTTCCTACAAATAACGTATATTGCAAAACAACATTTGTCGGTTTGAAGTAAAACATTTACAATTTTGACCTTGTAATCCAAAACCGGCAAAATGAAACTGAAGCGACTATAAGTATTTCCATACATAAAAGTCGAATTTTTAAGGGTCTAGTGACTTGGCGGATTACGTGCCTTTGGAAAACCTAGGAATAGCCTCATTGAAGTTGGCATCAATTCATTTTTATGCCAAGGGAATTGTGACAAGGAGCCCCATGCTACTGTAAATACCATTTGAGGTGCAACTACAAATAGTCACAATCAATTCTTTCTTCGATAACTTTGTTAGGAAAGTTATAGCAGCTGCATTAAATTTTCCTTATAGAAAGTAAGGTTTAATTTAAACGAAACCTTCTTTTCTGTATATTTGTACACATTCTATAGTAAATGAAATTTATCTGCTGCAGATTTTAATTAGTTTGCTTGAAAAATTTTTTTGGTTAAACTTAGTTTGGTTGCATACTGCGAAGTTTTTGGACCACCCTATATAAGTATAACGTAGTATTTACGAAATGTTTTTTCCACTGTTTATTGACACAGAAACCTAGTAGTAATATATGCTATGGCAACTAACAGTTACAATGTGATAGCATGGAAGAAAGTAAGATACAACAGTGGAATACGTGGGCTATTATCATATATCATAAAATATATCAATTTAATTTAAATGGCACAGAACTATCTGTTCGCCTTTAAAAGTTGCAGGAAAACCTGGAGAGTCTATCTGTATAATCAGCGGAAAATGAAATGTCTGCTAAATGCAGTGTAATTAGTTTAGCTTTAATAGGCGTAACGAACGTTTGGGATGAGTATGTATATATATATACGTATGAATTTTGAATCTTGTTTACAAATGGTATTTTGGGTTCAAAGTTGTAAATTGTATGGTAATAAGTTAAATTAATTGTAAGATGGTAGGATTCAAACACGCACTACATTCAAGTTCAAGGACACTGATACACTAAAATATTTAAAAGCACCAAGGATTTAGCATATACAAAATGAATAAACCCGATGCGTTATATGGACCATAATTACACAATTATCAGAATCTGAAATTTCTCTGCAAAATCCGTCACGACGAATTTTTGTCTAAACAGTTGCTATGCATACAGCAAGAAATGTACACTGGCCATACAAGAAATCCTCATTTGTTAACAGAAGTGCAAATTAACTTATCATAATTGTTTAATGCTGTAGTACCGAGATTAATTAAGAGCCTGGAATACCATAAGCATCGAACAAATAATCGTCAAATATACTTATAAATTTACTATCAGTTTGGATTGCAGCAAAGGGCTACTTATCTATAATAAATTTTGTGAAATTTTAGTTGAAAAACTTGTCTTTATAAAATTTAATAAAGAAATAAACAGAAGGGCTTTTTTGAAAAAATTCTTGCCTTTTATAGAATTGTAATATTTAAACTAATTAGTGAAACAAATTGGAATACTTTCGCGACCAGTAGATGAACTGATGCTGTTTTGATTCGGGTTTAAAGGCCGTCGTGTGTTGGAGTTGCATCCTATCGCTAGTACGAGGTCCTTCCATTTCCGATGCTAGATACGAAACGTTATGAAGCAACTCCAACACAAAACGGCCTTTAGACCCGAATCAGAACAGCAAGTTCTAACAAGTGAAGTTTCAACATTTTGGCAATTTAGTTTAACAATTAGTTATTTATTACTGTTTTCAATAATTTTTAAAAATGAGTATTGAAATATAAGTCGATTCATTTACACTTCTATTCGCATCGAATTAATTAGCTTTTTAGCATAACCACCATTTTAAATGAGCTTTTGAACTTTTTAACTAGGATTATTTCATAAATGCTATTCACAATAATCGAATCTGATTGAAGTAGGTGGTATAAAAACTTAGCTAGCATCTGCTAGACATTTTAATGCACAAAACAATGACATGATTCAGTTATTATTGTAACAGCTGATGTCTAAATTGCATTTAATAACTTACTCTCATTTCCTGACCAATGGCTTCAATCGTTGACTCCAATGCGCGGGTGCCTCTTGTATGCTCATCTTCTACAGCCTTCACCGTTTTAAGTAGTGAAGTAACATTTGTCACCATAACCTGTAAAATCATCGAAATAAAGTACGACCTTGAAAACAGGAGTTGTACAGAATATTCCAGATGTAGATTTTATATTTTAAAAAAACTAGACATCTTGCGAACTCGGTTGTAGCGTAAGGAGAATTTACCTAGTAAATAAACACCAATAATATCAAAACTGTTATGTCGTTAGTTACGAATAAACAGTAGACACGCAGGTATATGATACATAAATGTGCTTTTTATAAAACATCTTCTCAATTTTTTTCGTTTTCTCATTTATGAAGGGTTTATATATAAAGAAAATGAAATACCTAAATGCCCTTAATTAAAAAAAGTAAAATAATGTTTTGTCAATAAGTGTAATATATAGTATATTTCTAAAAAAATTGAATGGAGAATATCGAATGTGTTCTTTATAACTAAAATAATTTCAGTCATACCTAATACCAAAGGTAAGTATTAACTTTTTGTATTTTAAACGATATTCATACATTTTATAAGTTACTCCAATTGTACGCCTTAATTTAAGGAAACATAAAAAGTTTAAAATTTTCCATTCCTTTTCTCTCTGGGGTCATTAATTGTAAAATCTTATCTTCTTGAATATATCTTATGTATATACATTTGTATGTATATTAAACAAATAATAATACGTTTTCAAACTTAATTTATGTGTTTATCCACCAACAAACACAAAGTGGCGAATATTCATTGCTTTAAAACAGCAGGTAGGTAGGTACACTTAACAGAAATAGCTTGACCCCCTGAGATTTCGAGAGAACGGCGCAAGAGACAAAAAAAGCAATCAGAAGAAAAGAGATGCTACCTATTTTCTTTTTAACATTTTCATTATTTTCACGTAGGCATTCATATTTAATTGTACATTGAATCTAAAAAGTGTTGTGTTGATAAAACGAATACATGAAAAATTTGAAATTGCGAAACATCATAAATACACACGTGTTCGTTTTCCACCTAAAAGATAGATTTTAGTGCTTTAAGGTTTACCAATTTTGATAGGTATTAAATTATAACCCCCATACATTGACGTTGAATTACAAGCACCAGTATTATGTACAAAGCTATATTATTGTTCCTTTAAGTATGGATCTTTTATTTGAAGCATTATTCAGCAGATAATTTTTTTTTACTACTGTACAGAGAAAATACAGATATCACAAAAAGGGATAGTCCTAGAAATAAAACAATTACATAAAGATTGATATATCGAGTTATGGCAGTATACCGCCATTTACTAAAATGTACTGCTAACTGAAGTATTTTATATGGTGACGCAGCTTATTTATGTGAACGTAATAGGTACAGGGTACAGTATACATTTGTAGTAAAGCCGTTTTCCAACATACTTCAATTAGCAGTAGATATTGGTAGATACGATTTACTGCTACGACTATATATTATATCAACTTGCTTTTAAAGACCTCTTTCGATTTTGTACATGATTTATCAATTTTGTACATGACATGCTGATGAAATCTAATTATAGTTTCGATAAATTACCATGAGGTTATGCCTACTGTTCTTACAAAAAGATTCTCTGAACAAAGAGCACATAACCTGAAAACACAATCAAAAATACTTATTTCCTGTTAAAATAAAGAACTTAATGACCAAATTCTGTACAACCAAAAGTTAAGGACAATTGAATTATTTTGGTAGCAAAGAGCACATTCGATGTTTCAGAAATCTATAAAAATATATCATCATTCAAAATTCAATACCGTACAAAAAAGAAAAAGTGAATTTAGACTTGGGTGTCACAAACAAACGAAAGACAAAACCTAACCTCTTCATTCAACAGACTGGCAAGTTAACTGTCAGTCCCAAGTTTTCTCACCTGACAGAAAGGCTGACTTTTTCTTATAACTATAAGATTACACATATGCATAGACTCTCTCATTGTAAAAATAAAAAATACACTTTAAATGTTTGACTCCCCTAAAGTCCAAGCATATGTTTTTCATAACTAAGACCTACCATTTCTGTTTTAACCCTATGCTTCTCAAATAGTAGGTTCTGGAGGTACCTATTAATAGAAATTTCATGACATTGAGCTAATTGTAAGTATGAAACTTAGTAAACATTTTGACCTCTAACGTGCTTTAATAATTATCAGACTAATCTCAGTTTGACATTCATGACTTTTGATATTGACTTGATCTCCCCCCCGTATATTTAATTTTTACAGTTGTTTTGACAAAAAAATCGAAATTCTCTGACATTTCTAACGCATTACTAATTTTTCCTAATCTTGTATTTGTCGCAGCTAAAATAAAAAACTAAATATTCTTCCCACGACTGAATATTTTACAAAACAGCACTACGTAATGTTCAGGTAGATTTAATATAGTGATTGTGCATGGTGATAAAGGAAAAAATTTTTTAAATTTTCTCTTATCCTTAGTTATTAGAAATAAAAGTGTGTTACATGTTCTCGGTAAATAATATAATACGAATCGTAAGTAATACAATTCCTTCACTTTTAAAACTACTACCGCTTTATCCAATTTTATAGGGGGCTAATAAGAGAAACTGTATCCTCAATGTATGTATTATTACTTTTTATTAAGGAAGGTAAAAAAATTAAAAATAACACAATTTCAAAAAATGCTCCTTAAATGCCTTTTAGCATAAGAGTTCATGTTACTTAAGATACAAGATCTTTATATAAACATAAGAATAACATTAGAAAACAAGACAGAACCTACGATCTTAAATTAATTTAAGGAACAAAGTACTTCTTTTGTAATAATTTTAAGTTTTTTTCTTTCTTTTTAAACTAGGACTATACTTCTGTATTTGGTTATTAAATAAACAAAAAATAAATAAAGTTAAATACAGAAAGAGCATATTTACCCTACCTAACATCAATCAAATTAGCTTGTTTGGAAACTTATAGTTATTGAATTAAATTGTACTTAAATGCCACGCGCGTATCTAAAATAATAATTAACTAGACGAACATAAAGGTAAGTCGTTATTTTCATATCGGTGTGGATGAACTAACGATTATGATAATTATTAAACTCACTCACTCAGCTTTTTTGAAAGGATATCAATTTCTGTAATACGATTACTTAATTTTTCCGTGATTGCCTGAATAAATTTGAAGCTGAATTGAGTTGGATGGAAAAAAACAACGAACATTTATAAAATTAAGCAAAGTGTAGTTTAGCTTTCAAAATAGCTTAGTTTACAAAAAAGAAAAAACAATTTTATCGGTACATACGTATACACAAAACTTGTAAATATGGTATGAATAACGCGTATAATTTTTAGATTATGTAATCATTTTGCGTAATATCAGAAAAAAAAGTATCGCTGCTTATATTTTCTCGACTGCTTCCCAGTAAACGGATTAGCTCCTCTTCCTGATCAGAAAGCCACCAATCGGTGTCTGATTCCAGTACCTGTCATTCAATCAAACCAAATGTTACAAGCCCTCTTTTACTAGCATTACACACTCGGTTATTAGAGAGTAAGGAATGTTAGAATAGAAAAAGCTCCTTCTTAGCAGCACAGTGGTGGACTTTAAAGGGATTAACTCCAAGATGATTTTACAAATAGAATTACACATTATGCGAAGAATTACACTAAACATTCTAGAGGAAGCGACATGTTTTCCGGATAAGTGGTGTATCTATATGTACAATACGGCGTAAATAAACACATATCCTGTCTATCACACAATACAGATTAAACTACATAATGTATGTGTGTATATTACAACAAATTCGGTTGGTATTAATAAAACTTAGATTGATATAACAATAACGAATAATCGGTGACGTTTTGAAGAGTAAATAATTAAGCAGTAAGAAATACCTTCTAATAATAATTTTAATTAGTTCAGCGCATTGATTAAGAATAAGTAGCAAACTTGCAGGATCTAATAGGGTAGTACAAAACATGAAAATTAAGTAAATTTTTGTTGGTACGAAAGTTTACCGTCTTTGAGAAAAACGTATTTGATAGAACAGGCAAGGGCCAGTCCGGAAATATGACAATGCAACGCTGCTTTCGATTAGCTGGTAATTAACAGCATCATGTTGCATTTCTTTTGTATTTTTATAGTCATGCAGTTTTTGTTATTTGTTAGATCAGATGAAGTGTCATTGACGATATTCAGGTTACAGTAAGCCTACAGTAGTTCTTCGTTCTTTTAACGTTGTATGTCAGTATGTCAGTGTCATAGACCAGTGCAAAATAGTAGTTCTCATAATGGCGTTTAGTACGGCAGAATATTGGGACAAGATACTAATTAACGGTAAATGTGAATATAATGCCAATGTAACGGTCAAACTATACGGTCATCGAAAACCCAACGAAGAGTTCCTCATCGGTAAACCGTCTTAAATGACGTACAGAGATTAAGAGAGACCGGCAATCTACAACCTACATATGAGGGCCGTGAGCCGTGAGCGTTGACGCCCGAACCATAACGCCGATGTCGAAGACGCTATCCCTGATTTTAAGTAGTGTAGTTTGACCGGTTCTGTACAAAATGAGGAGTGTCACTAATCGGTTACTAATCTGCCATTGACCTAGAGTTGGGTTGGTGAATTTTATCCTTCGTAATCGAGTGACCGGCAATAAACTATTGCAAGTTCTCTAACAAAATGAGAAAAAGGATGTCCTCGACGGATTACGAGGCAGAAGGGGAGTTTTGATTGTTTATAAGCAGATGGTTTCGCTTGTACTTAATTTTATAATAAAATTTTACAAAGCATGGATAAAAAATGTAAGTCTCGACAAACTAATGTAAAAAGCAATTCGAAGTGCCACGCTAACTCCCCTTGTAAAAACAAATAGTAACTATATTCTAACGTTACATATTACATTTTCATATATTATACAAAATATTTGGAAATCTCGTACTAGATTATATGGCAAAAAAACATTTATTTTCAGAATTTAAATAAAGAATTGTGAGGCAAATAAACATTTATTACCGGACTGCGGAGGGTGAATTAAATTACCGGACTGCATAGGAGGGTTAATTAAAATACTAAAGGTCCGACTGCGGTGTAAAAAATACCAAGTTTGAAATATTAAATATATCATAGGTACAACGAAAAAGCACAAAACAAGCAGGTAAGCACACATTAAGAGCCGCCACGAGAGACTTGATCTTGGGTTTAAACTGATTCTACTTGTCTTTTTCATGTTTCTTGGCTTTATCAGTTCTTTTCTTGGCAAAAAAAATCACGCTTGATGTGACCGATTATGTGGCAGTATTCACATTCTAGATCTTTATAAGGATTCTTTCTCCCATCATTGACATTATGGAATCTGTGTGGTTTTTCTTGATGTAAATTAATTGGAAGTGCCTTCTCTGTTAAATAAAGCTTTTGTGGTAATTAGGGGTGACTCTTCCTTTTAATTTTTAATTAATATTTACCACAGTCTCCTCTATCTACTTTAAATAATACATGACCAAAAAAATGTGTAACATCTACTACATTGATGCTGGTAATTAGCAACTGATTAAGTGCGGCGTTGTGGCTCGTATTTCTTTACCTTCAACTATGCTTTTCTAAAACACGGTGAACTTTCGGACATACAAACATTTACTTAATTTTCTTATTTTATGGTGTCCTATTACCTTCTACAAGCTCCGCAATTATTTCTGTTACACCCTGTCAAGAATACTGGATAAAAACAATATCCACGTCGATATAGATGACGATAATGAAGAAGATTTAGTACTTTCAAATAATTATATTTTTTCTAATATTTGTACTATTTATCTTGTTAAAAAAAGTTATTACTTTTGAATTATTTTATATATGCAAATACTTTATTCATAAAAGAATATGGCTACGAACTCCTATAAGTTCCTCTAAAAGATAATACAGTTATCAATATGACTTTCTCATTGAGGCAGATTGTCCATACTTATATGGCTAGAGTCTAATATGAATGTTCTAGATGAAGCGAAGCAATATTATAGATTACAAGAACAATGTGAGTTTTTTAGATTAGGAAAATTATATGGGTGAGTTACATCTAGCGACCTTTGCCCCTACCTATTGGGAAATAGCAACACTGCAGCAAAAGATCGAGAAGACTCTGGTTTATCTACAGCAGTTGACCTTCGCTTCACATGCTGCCATCACGACCCTCTTGTTCGAGATATTGACCATATTAATCGCCACCTTGTGTTTCAAGGAACGGATACGGTCCATTCTATTCAAAAAAAAAACCAACCCCAACTAAAGCAAGAACTTGCTGAACAACTTAAAGAAATGAAGACATTTCCAGAACCCTTTCGTCCTATAATCGTTTGAAGACAAGGACGTCTCTCACCTAAGGATCATACCACCGGTTATGACACTTCCAATTAGTATATAAGCTCATAATTTTCTCATTCATTCAGGAGTCTAACAGTCTACTTTATAGGTAAAACCTATGTTACTTGTTCATTTGCTATCTCTAGTATGTAATAATTAAGATAATAAAGTGTAATAAAGGTTCCTGATAACCGAACCAAATAAATATGTTAAAACCACTCGATCATCGTACGTTTTAACTGGTGTGAATTGAAAACGTATGGAGAAATTGCGATAATAACCAAGCTGCTGTATCGACGGAGAGTGAAAGCAGTGATGGTTGTGTTTTGTAAATTAATATCAATAACTACTTTACTCGTCTCTGATAGTATTTAAAGAACCCTTCAGTATGCTATTATGAACACAAAAGAAAGAAAAAAATAACTGAAGTATGCATAGTCACCTAGAATGTACGAATTGATGAAAACTTTGAACTTGCTCCTGGTCAATACTTTTGTATTAATTAGCAAAATGACTTTTACAGGCATAGAACTACAACATTAAAAGGACAAAGAATTACTCTAGGCTGACTCTACTATACACATCGTCAATCTCACTTAATCTAATCTAATAAATAAGATCATCATCAGTCAATAAAAGAATAGTACCCTGATAGGTACTCGAAGAACTTAGTTATTCTCACCTATTCGCCCGCTAAAAAAAACTAACACAAAGGCTATTGTGTCAAATCGGCAAAAAATCCGGACAAACTCTTTATAGCTTATGTTGTTAAAAATGCATTACAAACAGTTGAATCAATAGAGGCAAGAATAACAATAAGAACTAATAATTGAGAAGCTACACTCTATGTCATACATAATGGGTCGCGAAACTTGCTAGGGAAACAAACTGCCATTCGTTTAAAAGTATTGAAGTTAGGATATAATGTTAATTTAGTGAGTCAAGCTCCATTTTGTAAGTTTAAAGGGGTACAATTGGAGATTATCATCGACAAAAACTATTAGACTACTTTTTCAACTGTATAGACGGATACCTATTCCTTTAGAAACCAAAATAAACCACAAAATCCACGAGTTAATAAAAATTGATATCGTCAAATCGAAAAATATGTGGTGTGCCAATAAGGCGATTACAAGGGACAATCATCCAATGACCACAATAGATCAGCTAATTCCTATGTTTAGAAAAGCAATCTGATAAAAAAGATGCATTTCATCAGGTGCAGATTAAAGAGAGCTGTAAAGAGGTCACCATCTTTTTCACAAGTAACGGAGTCTATAATAGTCGTTATAAGCGCTTTATGTTTGGCATTTCGTGTGTACCCGAACACTTTTAAAAGATCATGGAATGAATGTTACTATCATGTGAAGTTGTGATAAATTTCATTGGTGACGTTGCTGTGTTTGAATGAGATGAAGCCGAACCCAATTCGGGACTTCAGCACACCTTATGTGTTCTAAAAGAAAACGATGCCCTTTTCAATACGGATAAGTGCATTTTTGGTGTCTTAAATATAAAATTTCTTGAACATAACCTTTCTTCTGATTGTATCAAACCTCTCGACAAGTACCTATGTAAAGAATATTGAAACTTTCAGAGAATCAACGANATTAATAAATTGTTAAATAAAGTATTTTAAATTGACAAAATTCTTACACTTAACGTTAAATTAACTATATTTATTATCTATTACTTAATATAGAACAAGCTTTTTGAATGATAATGGTCACTAATCAATTACAACTTGACACCTGTAACTTTCTACTTATACAAACTTCCCTATTTTACGGTATGTATAAACCGTAGTTTTAAGCATATGAATTTAGAACCCTACTGTATTCTTGATAATGAACCAGATTATAATACATCCAATTGCAAAGACAATAGAAATAGTCCTGCATACTCCCATTAAAAAGTCTCTCAATATTTACTTACTTCGATCCATAAAATAAATTTAATAAATTTAAAGTCCACCGTATGTATTAATACAGAAATGTGGTAATTAAAAAAAAATTCTGCCATAGGTAAGTATATATTCTGATTGTTAAATGCATTGGCAGGTATGTTAAAAAAACAGTGCTAACATTTACAAAATAAAACAAGACGCAATTCTTTAAAAAAATATTATAAATCTTACCTTTGCACTGTCCTTTAGATGAGCCATAGTGGGATCAGAAATAGGTTTTCCACTTGCACCTTTAGTTGCATGAATTAAGTCACCTAAAGCACTAGCAACATCTTTGACAGCATTAATCAGCATTATTTGAGATTCTGTATTATCTGAACCAAGACTAGCGGCACCAAACTTTACAACTTCAGCTAATTGTACTGAAAAAAAGGAATATAATAATTATAATTGTTTTTATGTTTACATTTTATAAAAATGTCAACGTGTCTTTCTTGTTTGTTTGGAGATTTAGCAATGTTACATGCTACAACTTTATTTCTAAAAACCGAAGAGTAAACAATAATTTAGTGATTGGTTGTAGTAGCAATTGTTTCAAATTTGATTTCTTTTTTCGAAATGTGGAAAAAAATGTTTTGTATCAAACTACGTTTAAAAAGTTAGCCCTCGGGTTTATTATAATATTGTCTTATACAGTATAAATAAGATTTTTTAGGCCGAATACGTTTCTTGGGTAATTTTTTTTTATTATTTTACAATTAGTCAATGTTTTCGGCAAACCGTTGCCGTACAATTTTTAAAAGTCAATACTAACCTATGGTAGAAACTGCATTTTGTGCTGCAATAGCGAGTTGTTCCTGCGAAGATGCCGCACCAGCAACGAGCGTTTTAGTGTCTTCTACAAGTGCTTTTGCAGTTTTAAGGATATTTTCACGATGATTAGCAAATAATTCATTTTCATTATCTGGATTAAGGTTTCCAGCAGTAGCAAACATTATAGTTGTATCAAGATCTCCAATTATGCCAGATACCGTTGACGCCGCATTTATACAAGCTTGGGTACCTCTTGAGCCTGATTGAAGTAAAGCTAATACTCTCGATACCTAAAAGATGTACGTATTCTCTCATATTAAACGATAATACATTAGTCAGTGGATTATCACACTTTTTTCAATGGTACATTTTAGTCTAAAGGATTGACTGTCACCCTTGCCAATAAATACAGAATAATAATACATATACAACAACGATTTCAATAGGTAAAATCGGTTGTGCTGACCTGACCTGAACATTTACCGGTTCGCGACGATTTAATTATTGGCCAAATCAGCTGAAATAACGCAAAGATTTTGATGTGGTCAAGGTAAAGGTCAAGAAGCATTAGCATTAAACAAAATAGCCGATTGACAAGTGATATTGTTTACGTTCTCCAACCTTGTAGCTTCTGAGTCCTTACTTCAACTTGTTGCATAGCTGCAGATTTATGCTACCAATCCACGCCCAGGACCGGTTTCGAATTGTGACTTCAGTTTTTTACAAATTCGATCTCTTAATCACGCTGCTATACTCTACTCAGTACGTTGAATAGAGATAGACATCCTAAAACTGATTCCCCTACCACGAGGATGTTGCCTTCAGTGCAGAGTTTACGCAGGGTTACGTCGTCCATTTGTGTTAGTTTATGCCATATATATGTAATACTCCTATATAGCTAGTTGGGGTCTAGAAAAAGATGACGACCCAACGGTGCAAACATATATGTGTCTGTCTCTCTCGTGATTACTTCGAGTATTAGGCGCATGCTCGACAATTGAACATGCCTATAAGCGCGCATCATTTACCCCACCCCAACGGGTCGAGTAATCTAAAAAGAGACAGAAGTAGTCGTTTGTTGTCTCACTTGCTCCGTGACACTTCCACTTACGGACACTAGCAATATAGGAGTATTACATATATGGTTTATGATTACTCCGTGGGATTAACATCTCTGAAGTACAGACAGAGCCTGTATAACCTTTGCCTTCTTCTATCAACCGAGAGATGCTCCAAGTTCTACCCCCACTTCCGAGATATTGATCCCACAATTGGGTCGATCGCGCAGTCTATTGTGTGTGTAACTCTATGGAATTTAACGTGGTCTGACACGTGATTAATCACACATTATCTATTTTTAGCTGAGATAAGCGTTCTAGTGATGGATTAAAGGGAACGAATACGCATATAAAAAACAACTAAAAATCACGGAAATGAGGTTATTATTTTTTTCAACCACATTCCAATTTGAAAAAATCAGAAGGCTAGCTTGAAAATATTTTTTTCAAGGCGTTTTTTGTTTACATTACTTTTTCAATTTTTATACCGTTTGTAGCTTTTGGGATTTAAATAATATTCTCTTGCAAGACTCCAACAAACCTTTAATTTTAAAAAAATTTTCTAGTTGCAAAACTAATCAAGAATAAACAAATAAACTATTTTGTTTTTTAAAATTTCGGTTTGTATCTTTTACGCTACAAAATTATACATAATCCCATTTATCATGTTGAATAGGTTGTATTTTTTTTATTTTGAGGGCAATTTTCACTATCTTATAGAGCCCTTAATATTAAATCGTTTTCGGGTAAGTTTACCATGACTTTTATTACAGTTTCAAATGATTTCAGCATTGCTAGCAATAGGTTGCACACTAATTTTTGTTCTGATACATTCTTGTTCTTTACCTGGCGAATTAATTCATCAAAAACGTGTAAAAAGCTTTCTAAATTACGATTCTCTTGTAATTTTATAGTTATCAAATTTAGCCTCAGCATCAGTTGACCAGGAATTCCCTTTCTTTCGTATCGTTTTTTCATGGAGTTCCAAACTGAGTAAACAGTCTTTTTGTCTCTAATTATATAGATTTATTTGAGATTCACATCGCATTCAAATAAAACTTATTTGTATTTCTTATCTAGTTGTTGTTTTCATTCCTTAATTGTTCTGCTTCATAATTATTTTCTTTAAATTACTTTTCAGTACGACTTAAAACTTCCAGTTACAGTTCTGTTAATAAACTCTGAATTCGGAATTTGTATGTGAGGTAATTTTCTGTATTCAACAGTAAAACGGTTTTTACATAAGAACGTCATAATTACTAAAAGGCCTGTCTTTAATAATTTATTTTTGAGTCACTATTTCTTTAGCAGGCCTGGGTACCATAACCCGATAAGTTTTGTATATTACTCTTAAATCTTTTAATACGTTTACTTGCAGCAACTTTACTTTTTATTTATTTCTTTCTTATATCATTTCTAAATTTCCGTAAACTCCAACTTGGCCCCACCCTTATCTTCTTTTTTTATATATATATATACTACTTGCTGGAAAATCCAACACATACTCTTAAAATATAGACGCGCAGTAAAAACCACTTAATCCATCGCAATTCAGCTTTGAATGTTCGAGCAAGGCTCAATGCCTGCTCACAAAGCAAAGCTCAATCAACAATGTTTTGAGGACAATGTTCTCTACTGACGACTAACAGCGATCATAATCTCAATCCATTTAATAATCACCGCGTTAAAAACTCCAACAAGAAAGCTGTCAAACAACTACCGATAGATTCGTACATCAGAAAGATCTAACCGCTGCTGCATACTTCTACCCTTGAATAATTATACATGGTTTTGTAGCGTTTTGCATCAAATTTTCAACATTAATACTCTTAGTATTGTATGATGCCTTGTTACAAAATTTGAAGATTTGAATAGACTTACTACCAAAAGTTTTGGTTGTATTATGTATAGTATACTTGAAACACACTATGAGGTGAATGTGGCAAACAGGTGGTATGATGTAGCTCACATTAACCCTGATGCTCGTATACTATTTTCTCGGGTGACAGCTGCATAACAGCTGATACACTGCGAAATTGTATAGGTTCGGCTAGTTATGCGTTTTCGGCTTTGGATAGACAAATATTCGAACTTTCAGCAAAGATGTGACGAAAAACAATTTTTAAACTATTATTATATTTTATAAAAGAATATAAAAGTTTACCAAATTTTCATAGATCTCAATAACCTTACCTTCTCTGAAATTATTCGCGAATATTCTCCCAATTCCTTTAAAGTGGTAATGTCGTTTCCAGTTTGATATCGCTCAGCACTCTGAACAAGATCAATACATGCGGCTCCAACAACTTGAACAACTTCTTTAAGCTTCGTTGAAACTTCTCCATTTGTTGACGTCACTGCTGCACCGATACTATCGTTAGCTAGCTGTGTGTACTTCTGAGATAATTCTGCAGCTAAAGATGGTAAATATTGTGGATCCATTGCTGCTTTCGTTGCCTTTAAAATTTAGATAATTAAAAATTATTTATAAATAAATATCCACTTAAAGGACAACCTACCATTTCGCCAGAAATTTTCGCAACACGTTTTGCGTTCTCCACCATTCCTGTTTGATAATTAACGTAAGAATCTACATGACCAAAAAAATGAGTAACATCTACTACATTGATGCTGGTANCTTTAAAATTTAGATAATTAAAAATTATTTATAAATAAATATCCACTTAAAGGACAACCTACCATTTCGCCAGAAATTTTCGCAACACGTTTTGCGTTCTCCACCATTCGTGTTTGATAATTAACGTAAGAATCTTCACTGCCCATTATTAATGACGCCCTTTGATCTGACAATCGAGTAACGGCTCGTGTAAGATTGTCAATAATACCGGTAAAAATCCCGCTCTGAGTTGACATATGTTGAAGGTTACTCGAAAGTTCTTGTAGTGCGTCACTTAAGGAAACAGCGTACTCATCTATATCAGGATGGACATTGACTGCCTGTTACAAAAATGACGTTAAATTACATTGTACACTCCTTTAATTAGAGCGCACAAAATATATTTTTCTTAACATCTACCACTTAAAATTTAAAAATAATTATAGTACCTTCGGATTTCCTCCAGAATCTTTAGTTGCATAAACAAACTGAATAGCAGCTTCTATGACGGATTTAACTTGATCTATTAGTAATTCTTGTTGTTTCGAACTTTTAATGTGAGAAAGAGCACCAACTGTTCCTTGAACTAGAGGGTCAAAATACCGCAACTGAAAATAAAGATTTCAAGTAAATTCTCCACAAATAATGAATTACACGCAGTGGTTCTTAACCTTGGGTGCGAGAAAGCATTTTCAAAGTCGCCCAATTTGGGGTGGAAATTATCGCCTGAAGATAAATATATATTGTCCTTTATGCATATATTTTTTATAAAACAAATATCCTGCAACGTTTGTAAATTTCTAAATTGGGAAATCTTAACATATTTTAAAAGAGTACGACAACTTATTTTTTTATTTAAAGGATTAGCTTTCACTACAAAGTTGATAAACTTTTACGATTAGATTAGTAGTATTTCTTATTCCTCCTGATACAAAAAACACCTTTATGAAAAATCTTTGTCTATGAAATCTGATTCGAATGTTTTCGACATTTATAGCATTCTATTGAAAACCTAGAGCATTATTATATGAATGGTGAGAAGAAAATTTGTATATCTTACCATATTATTCAGTGCGTGCCCAATACCTTCTGCTTCAAATTTAGCAATATGGCGAAGATTTTCTATGGTATCCTGCAATTCAGCAACAGCGCGACATATTTGCTGATTAAAATTACGAAATGTTGATCCAGGTTTCGGAATTGGAGACTGGGACATAATATCCATATTTGCCGAGTCTAACATTCGAAGATAATTAGTCAATGCAGTGATTGCCGAATCGCACTCTGTTTGTCCGGGAGCTTTATCCCTATAAATATTTTAAGGATGTGAAAATTAAATTTATAATAGTTATATTTANCTTTATTCATAAAAGAATATGGCTACGAACTCCTATAAGTTCCTCTAAAAGATAATACAGTTATCAATATGACTTTCTCATTGAGGCAGATTGTCCATACTTATATGGCTAGAGTCTAATATGAATGTTCTAGATGAAGCGAAGCAATATTATAGATTACAAGAACAATGTGAGTTTTTTAGATTAGGAAAATTATATGGGTGAGTTACATCTAGCGACCTTTGCCCCTACCTATTGGGAAATAGCAACACTGCAGCAAAAGATCGAGAAGACTCTGGTTTATCTACAGCAGTTGACCTTCGCTTCACATGCTGCCATCACGACCCTCTTGTTCGAGATATTGACCATATTAATCGCCACCTTGTGTTTCAAGGAACGGATACGGTCCATTCTATTCAAAAAAAAAACCAACCCCAACTAAAGCAAGAACTTGCTGAACAACTTAAAGAAATGAAGACATTTCCAGAACCCTTTCGTCCTATAATCGTTTGAAGACAAGGACGTCTCTCACCTAAGGATCATACCACCGGTTATGACACTTCCAATTAGTATATAAGCTCATAATTTTCTCATTCATTCAGGAGTCTAACAGTCTACTTTATAGGTAAAACCTATGTTACTTGTTCATTTGCTATCTCTAGTATGTAATAATTAAGATAATAAAGTGTAATAAAGGTTCCTGATAACCGAACCAAATAAATATGTTAAAACCACTCGATCATCGTACGTTTTAACTGGTGTGAATTGAAAACGTATGGAGAAATTGCGATAATAACCAAGCTGCTGTATCGACGGAGAGTGAAAGCAGTGATGGTTGTGTTTTGTAAATTAATATCAATAACTACTTTACTCGTCTCTGATAGTATTTAAAGAACCCTTCAGTATGCTATTATGAACACAAAAGAAAGAAAAAAATAACTGAAGTATGCATAGTCACCTAGAATGTACGAATTGATGAAAACTTTGAACTTGCTCCTGGTCAATACTTTTGTATTAATTAGCAAAATGACTTTTACAGGCATAGAACTACAACATTAAAAGGACAAAGAATTACTCTAGGCTGACTCTACTATACACATCGTCAATCTCACTTAATCTAATCTAATAAATAAGATCATCATCAGTCAATAAAAGAATAGTACCCTGATAGGTACTCGAAGAACTTAGTTATTCTCACCTATTCGCCCGCTAAAAAAAACTAACACAAAGGCTATTGTGTCAAATCGGCAAAAAATCCGGACAAACTCTTTATAGCTTATGTTGTTAAAAATGCATTACAAACAGTTGAATCAATAGAGGCAAGAATAACAATAAGAACTAATAATTGAGAAGCTACACTCTATGTCATACATAATGGGTCGCGAAACTTGCTAGGGAAACAAACTGCCATTCGTTTAAAAGTATTGAAGTTAGGATATAATGTTAATTTAGTGAGTCAAGCTCCATTTTGTAAGTTTAAAGGGGTACAATTGGAGATTATCATCGACAAAAACTATTAGACTACTTTTTCAACTGTATAGACGGATACCTATTCCTTTAGAAACCAAAATAAACCACAAAATCCACGAGTTAATAAAAATTGATATCGTCAAATCGAAAAATATGTGGTGTGCCAATAAGGCGATTACAAGGGACAATCATCCAATGACCACAATAGATCAGCTAATTCCTATGTTTAGAAAAGCAATCTGATAAAAAAGATGCATTTCATCAGGTGCAGATTAAAGAGAGCTGTAAAGAGGTCACCATCTTTTTCACAAGTAACGGAGTCTATAATAGTCGTTATAAGCGCTTTATGTTTGGCATTTCGTGTGTACCCGAACACTTTTAAAAGATCATGGAATGAATGTTACTATCATGTGAAGTTGTGATAAATTTCATTGGTGACGTTGCTGTGTTTGAATGAGATGAAGCCGAACCCAATTCGGGACTTCAGCACACCTTATGTGTTCTAAAAGAAAACGATGCCCTTTTCAATACGGATAAGTGCATTTTTGGTGTCTTAAATATAAAATTTCTTGAACATAACCTTTCTTCTGATTGTATCAAACCTCTCGACAAGTACCTATGTAAAGAATATTGAAACTTTCAGAGAATCAACGACTTTTGGAAACTACGAAGTTTTCTTGGGCATGTTAAGTGTGTAGGGGAATTGATTCCTAATCTCGCGATTGTAACTAAGCCTCTACATCAACTTCTTCGACAAAAACTTCACAAATAAGCGAATATCACTAAATTTTTGAAAAAGGGACAAAAAAGCTACCTATGACAGGTTAAAAAATTGCCTTAGCAAAATTCGCACCCTAGGCTTTTATGATCCACACGACAAAGCAAACCCGGTAGATTTGGGTGGGTTTCTAATTCAATATTATTCAGGTGGACCGCGTGTTTGTTATAATAAATATTTTTTTAATTAATAAATTGTTA